CTTGACCAGAATCGAACCCGGGACCCTTCAGTCCGCAAGCCGACGCTCTGTCCACTGAGCCAAACTGGTTAGGGCATGAGCACAGCCATCTTTTGAGAAATCTGGAGGCGAACCCCCTCCACAAGCCATCTTGAGCACTGGAACCTTCTACAAGTGATCCCGCCTGCCTACGATTGCACTCTATTTTTATATTCCCAGTGAGACTGTCTCCAAAAACCAGATAGCACTGTGCCGCAGGTAGCAGAGCCCGGCTCCTAGCCCACAGGCGCTGGCGAATGCAATTCCCCCCGTCTCCCACCCCTTGCACACTCTGCAGAGTCAAATGCCTATTCTAGAGGCCCAGCCAGAAGTTCCAGATACACCCCTTGGTGGCCCACGTGGCTTCCTGTGTGAAGGCACAGCTCACTCCAGGGAGGGCGGCGGGCACAGGGGTGATCTGCAGCCACAACGGGAGTCTCAGCAGAGGTGAGGCGGGCCTGTGACATGCCCAGTGAGTGGGTCTCATGAGAGTTGTAGGAGAGGATAGATGCAGTAACTACTGAGAAAGTCTGCATCATTTTCCCTTGAGAAATGGCCTGCAAGCAAAACATATTTCTCATCCATTTGGCATGAACCTTGCTATGAAGTTAGTCCCAAATCCTGACTGTGAAAAAGTGGTGACTTTGAGGCTCTTAGTTCTACAATGTGTCTATCCTGCATCTCAATGCTTCAATAAAAAGGATGAAATAATTATTGCGAGATCACGTTAGCAAGATGTTTAAAAATATCAGATATACCCAAAGTCAGTCTTACTTAAAAATAGTAAGATACATGAGCATGAAGCAGCAGATAAACTCTATTATCATAGTGATGATAATGATCTTACAACTGAAATGCTTGCAAATATTTCCATTAAAATATGGGTTACCATTACATTTTTAATTTAGATATCCATGGGGTGTCCCACCATGCTGTTTGTTTCACAATGACTAGATTAAAAAATAATTAGAAATTAAAGTCAAACCAAACTGGTCCAGTTTTTCCAAAGTACAAAAACAAATTGTATAAGACAAGACAATGCAGTACATTTAGAAACGTCTCATATTTGGCCTTCTGAGCTGCTCTTGTGAAATATAATCTGTTATTTGTCTATCCATCTGTCGATCTATCCGTCCAGCCATCCAACCATATATTCACATCTCTTTCTGTCTATAATTGCCAGCTTCCCTGTGGGTTGGTCCTGCCCTTTAGGATTCTGGGAATTGATAACAGACCATCTAACTTGTTTTAGTTGAATCCAAAGATCATCTCTTTCACACTTCCTTTGCCAATGTTAACTCTCCCACTCAGTGGGCAGGCAGGCAGGTGCCCACCATGTGAGAGAAGGGAGGCCCTGGTCTGTGCGGGCTCCTGTCAGTGGTCTGCTTCTAGTGGCACTCGCCAGCTTAGGGCCCAGCCTGGACTCTGAGCCACACAGCACACCCTGCCCTCCACAACCAAGAGCAAGTGGACTAGACGGGTCAGGTGATCCTGAGGGAAGAGTGGTGGGGGTGGGGCTTTCTGGGACCCAAACACATTGGGGAGGAGGTGAAGTGCATCCTGCCAGCCCCTACGCAGCCTCGCAGGTGATTAATGGGCAGGCTCAGAGCTGCAGTTCCTGCTGGAGAGAAGCTCCTTAATGGAGCAGTGCTCTGTAGACAGCTCAGGCTGCTTCCTCCTCATCGCTCATCAGAGCTGGGACGGCTTCCACCTGTGGGGGCAGGGGAGCAGGCTCAGCTGGACCAAACTGGCTGCATCTCCAGTCTCCTGGAAGCACCCTTCCCTTCTAGGGCCCCTCGAACCCGCGCTTGGTGTGTTTGCCCCCCTGAGCTGAACTTTACCTTGTATAAGACACACAAAAGAGAGCCCAGGCTTCGGGGTGCCCAGGGGACCCTGGTGGCCAGATCAGTAACCAGCTAGGCTTTAGCTCTTTGAGTTTGGGGACTGGCCATGTTCACTGCTCAGCTGTGTAGCAGGCTCGATGTGTAGAGGCTCTCAATAGGCGTTTGAATGAGTGAACAAATAAAGGAACGCTTGGCTTGAGTCCCAAAGGACTAGTTAGGGTCACGGACAAAGAAAGCTGTACTATTAGTTCAGGCCCATGGGATCGAGTTGCCAATAAAAGATGGTGCTCTGCACTGTGGGGACACAGGCATACGAAAAACTATCCTTTATTCATCGCAAGCGCAAATGTACTGGGCACCTTGTCCTTTCCTTTGCTAAGTCTGGCTACGCACCATGAGGAGGTCATTGATCACCGTGATCAGAACAGAGGTGCCCTGGTTAGTCCATCTTTTAAAAATTAAATTTCAACTCAAGTGCAGTCGGACAGTTCTGACACACCGCCCTGCAGAGCTGTTCCCCACAGTGTGCACATGCACACACACGGCAGACATGTGCCACGGCAGTGCCCGCATGTATGCGTCTGGATGAACTCTACAAGGCACAACAGGGCTGGGGGTGGGATGGGTATAAAAACGTCACAGACTTCCAAGCTGGGCTGAGCAAGCAACTGTGGTAAGAGGCACAAGTAGAATAAAGAGTCCCAAATATTTTAAAGAAATTTCAAATTCACTTACAATAAAATTGCCTTTTGTTGTGCAGACAGCCCTCTGAGCTCTAACACATGCGCAGCTTCAGCTGCCCACCATGGCCAGCAATCTGTAACTATACTGAGTCTTCCAACTCATGGTCATGGTATGTTTCTACATTTATTTAGATCTTTACTTTCTTTCATCAGTGTTTTGTAATTTTGGTCATAGAAATCCTGCACAGTTTTTTTTTTTACTTATGTGAAATACATAAACGTTTTTATTTCTAAAGCATTACTATTTTTCATATTTTTGCATTAATAGTATATAGAAATGCAGTGGGGTTTTTGAGTGTTAACCTTGTATCCTGCAACCTTGCTAAACTCACTAAATTCTGTAGGATTCTCTTTGTGGACAAATCAGGGCATCTGTAAATTGGGACAGTTTTATTTCATCCTTTTTTTATCGGCATGCCTTTTATTTTTCTTGCATTATTGCACTGGCTAGAATTCCAATAAAATATTGAGTAGGAATAACAAGAGTGTACCTTTTTGCCTTGTTTCCAAACTTAGGGGGAAAAGCATTTAATTCATCACCAAGCCTGATTTAGCTTTAGGGTGTGTGTGTGTGTGTGTGTGTGTGTATG